TCCGGAGCATGACCAGGTCAAGGTGGACATCGTCTATAACCCGGGTCCGAGGAACCTCTGCGATATGAAGCTGGTTCTTAAAACCAGTGAGTCTCCATCAATATCGTGCGCTTTGAGGAGAAGAAACTGACCAAAAATCTTCTAGCTGGAACGTCGATTAGACATGCGGACAGCCTAGTCCCAGACGCCTGCCGGCCATACGAGGATCCTCCTCTGAGCAGCATTATCCGCCTAGACCTCGCCCTGCTTCTCGAAAATGAGCCGGCGCTAGTCGGAGACATATTTACCAGAGTCATAGATTTTGTGCAGGAGCACTATGGAACGATTCAGCCAGTGCTCTTCACACGGGCTTGCGCCGTTGATTCTCTGTCTCATGGGTTCGCCGCGGTCAGAGACAATGGATCATGCGGAGGCACACTTGTTACAGCAGATACCAGCAGTATGGTACTCCTCCCTCCGTCCTGCCAGAACTCGCGGCTTCAAGACGCTCTGGATGATGGGACTTACGTCCTAGCTGGGGGTCTTGGTGGCCTCGGCCGCAGTGTCGCCCGACGGTTAGCCGGTGAGGGCGCCAAGAACATCGTATTTCTTTCCAGGACGGCCCCTTCATCTATCGAAGCAGTCAAGTGCATCAAATTCCTCCGCGGTATTGGGGTCAGGGTTCTGCACATAATGGTAGACATTTGTGACGCCGAGGCAGTCAAAGACACGTATGCAAGCATCGTGTCTTCAGGGATGCCGCCCGTCTCCGGCATCGTCCAAGCCGCAGGTAATCCTCCAGGTGAGCGGCGTCCATTGCCTTTCTGTCTGCTACGAAAATTAACAATTTGATACAGGACTCGCTATATGATAAGATGTCGTTCGAAGACTGGATGAAAGTGATGAGACCAAAGACCCTTGGCTCTTCCAACCTTGTCCAGCACTTCGGACGACCAGCCGATCTGGCTAAGCCTCCTTGGTTCATTTTTCTGTCCAGCTCTGCTGGGATCATTGGCAATAGAGGTCAAGCCAACTATGCCGCGGCCAACGTCTACCTAGATGCCCTCGCGCGCAGCGGCAAGATCATGGGACGCGCCTATGCATTGGACATTGGCCCGATCCTGGCTGCAGGCATGGCCACCGACAGCGACGAGACGCTGAAGATACTGCGAGCCAGCGGATTTTACGGGATTCGTCTGGACGACTTCTTGAAAGTCTTTGAGCGCGCTGTCGTCGGGGAGATCCTTCCCGATGTCTTGATGCCGTCGCAAGTTGTGTTGGGGGTCGGCACGGGTGGCTTGATGCTTCAAAACAAGTCGGCGTGATCCATTCTGGGGCTAGGATGGCCCTTTACTCCTGCTTGAAGCTGCTTGATATGCCGCCTCCTGACCTCAGCGTTATATGCAGTGCTACAGCCAATTCGTTGAAGTCCAAGCTGGGGGCAT